TTCAACTCCCCGAATTCTGGGAGTTGAAGTCCACTCATCTTAAAGTGGCCAAGTTTGGACAACACTGCACTAAGCCAATCATAGCCCCGTGTAGCAGTCTGTCAAGAAATGAGGGCTTGGAAGACTAATCTGTTTGCTTCTTGCTGTAGATTGCATTCAGCTTAGAACACTACAGGTTGCACAGGACTGTATAAGACATTTATTTTCCTGCACCCCGTTTTGATGTGGTGATTGTTTAGTAGACATTTTGGAACTGAACACGGTTGCCCGTCTCCTTTGTAACAAGGAGAAACTGGATGGTGGTATAGGTGGAACTACCAATTGTTTTGGATGGTTTACTTGCATGGCATATTAGTCAATGTGCTATGACCAGTTTATTTAGGGTGAGTTTGGTATCTACATAAGCCTAGTGAAAGCCACCATAAGCTTATGTTCTTTGGTTCCAGCATATCTAAGCTGCATAAGCATATATTTGGGAAAGGGAATATGCAAACTAGCTGGGATTTAGGGTCTGGAAAAAGGAAGTGTAGATGTGTTTTGACACCTAGTTTATCAATACCAAACAATAGGCAATTTTCTCACCATATTGAATGTACCGTAGGGAGAATTTCAAAGTTTTCCAAGATGGTTAAGCTGCAGTGCCTCCTGCACAGGAGGAGGCATATCATGGTTTGAAAATTATTACTGTTCCTGGATGCATAGAATGGTTTGGCAGCTTGGCACATCAAAATGACTTTTAAAAGCTCTAAAGTGCGCTTGTATAAATTGCTTTGTTCATTTCTGTTTTAAGATGTATGTGAAAATGTACACTTGGTAATCCAAATTCCTGGGAGAAGTGTTTAAATTTATGGTGTAAGATACGTGCTGGTCCCAGCGCTTGTATTTCTGTAGGATGTACGATGGAAAAGGATGACTCTAGTGAAAATTGCACAAGTGTTTATGAGAATATGCTTATTTCTCAGGCTCACTTACTCTTTTGTTGGTGCAATATACTTCCTGTTTCTTTCCAGCGAAGCAAAATGGTGGTGCACGTTGTTGTATGCGGCACCCCCTGGAAGCAGTTTCCAAAGAAGCTGCTTAGGCCTTGCAACAGACACGGCTGCTTTAATGATGCAAAGCAAGGTGCTTTGTTCCTGCACAACACTGCATCTCTTGGTTGCTTTTGAAGGCAAGACTGTGTCCAATAGCCGTACAGGAAAAACAGTATCAGATGATTGTAATCTGGGTTATAATTGTGATCAGATGTGTACATGTACAAGTGTATGAAGATTGACTAGCTTGTTACTTCATTTTAAATGGTTGCTTTTACAAATCCATATTTGTCATGGAACAGGTGGAAGACTGCAAAACACTTTAATAAAGAGCTTGCTCCCAAGTCCTGTCTCTCTTCCTTTTCTTTCCTCTTCAGCTGCATGGATTTTCAGAAATACATGATCCCATGCGGTCTTTCCCAAACCTAACATCTCCCAGATATTCCCAGCCAGCACTGGGGGAAAAAGTAGAAGTGGGATAAGACAAGCGGGCTATAAGAGCTTTGGACTCTTGCTTGCCTGTGAAATCGAATAATTGAATGATGGCACAGTAGAAACCTTGCCTAGAAATAGTCACCCAGTAGGAGCCCCATTTATGCCGTAGTGTTTGTGGCTGGAATGATGCTTCTGAGCTTTATTGCCATGCTGGGTGGGGACCTGAGGCAGGAATTTCAGGCTACTTTGTCAAGGGAGAAGGGTGTAATGTGATGGAGTGTGTGCTTTCTATACCGAAGTTAATTGGATCTCCAGTTAAAAAGATCTCAGTGGTTATGGCCAGCCTGAACAGAAAGTGCTGGGTAGCCAAATCATCTGACTTGTTATGTGAGTCTGCCCTAGACCATTGCTATTTTTTACTTAGTGCTGAGCCACAATTTGCTTAACCATTGGAGTGTTCACATGATAAGTTATCATCCTAATTGACAAACTATAACGGCTAAGTTTACACAACACACTAAGCCCAAACAAACCAAATTACATTATGGTTAAGGATAATGTGTGAATCAGGCTCTTGTATTCCATTCATAGACTAACAGATTGGAAGGAGCAATCCAAATGAAAGCATCCATAAATGAGGGTTGATCGCTTTATGTTAGAAGACATCCTTGAAAGGGGAGCTCAGTAGCAGCACGGTATTACTCATTCCCTCTTCAAGCACATCCATTTCACGTCACAGCCTTTAATGCTGAAACCACGGAAATGGAAGCTTTATTTAGAAGGACAAAGGCAGCTATTTCTACAATGTTTGCTTGCAATATATAATATGGAGAAATAGCTAAGCAATAGTAGTTGCAAAAATTTGGACAAGCGAATTCATGAAGTGGAAGATGATGGCACGAGAATAGTGCCCATTAGATCATCATGTCAAATAGCTCCGGCAATACAAAATTGGATCCTCTCCATGGCAAACTTTGAGAGCAACCAGCCATGTGAGATGAGATTCTTATTTGTAAACGTTTGCCGAGGCTTTCCTGAGCAAGCAGTCAGAAGAGCCTGTCAAATGAATTAGTAGTTGAAGTAGCAGCCTTCAGAAGCATGTCACTCTAACTCAAACTGTTTGGAGACAGAAACCAGATAGATTAATCTTACTGCTAAATTCAAGTTTTTGGATATAAAGCGAAGATACGCCCACTAGTGACAGCTGCTGTGACCCAGATATAAAACTCAATCACTCTCAAAATACTGGCCACTTACTATGACACATGCAGAGAAGTGCCTGCCCCATCTTGTTGCATGCTCCAAATGTATATACAAGGTGCTAATGGGGGAGGAATGTTCAGCTTTGCCAGGGAAGACAAAGCTCTGTTTCTTTCATTGACTGGACCTGAAAAAAAGAGCTTGAATACATATATTGAAAAAGATGTGTGTTTCTGGCGCAGAAAATGCAAAACTCTCTCTGTATTATTTATGGAATAATGGTTCCCTTGAATCAACTGTCCATCACAAGATGTGTCAGGACTACAACTTCTGGAGTTTCCAGTACTGGTTGGAAACTCTGGTGGCAGTCCTGACGCACCTGGTGGTCAGAGCAGGTCGCAGAAAGCTGTTTCTGTTAATTGTTACGCACTTTTTAAAATAATGTATTAACAAGACAACTAAGGGTGCAAATCTTAATATGACTCATGCTTTTTAAAAGTTAAGCAACGTGAATAAATATCACTGCACAAGAGTCGTAAGAAAGATGAAAGCCAAGGAAATTAGTAGAAGGTATGATGATGCCATGCCTGTCATGAATTATGTAATTTGAATCATGACATCATGATTCATGTGATGTCACTTGCCACTCCAGCCCATCCCACCCCACCTCCTTTTTGTGGATGGCCATGATTCTACCTCAACATCACACGATACTATTTTTTAATGTATAGTGTTCCTCTTCCAAATCCCAGTCTTCCCCAGTTTATAACAATCTAGTTACAATGCTAGAATGGAAAAGTTCACCTGTCAGGAGGCCTACCTGATATGGCTACAAACATCTGGACATCCAGTAGTTAGAACAAAAAGTTGGCATTTTGATGCCTTTTTGCTGATCTTAGTAGTCACCTGGAATTTTGTAACCCATATCGCTTAGCCCTGCCTGCCACACTCTGTAAAGCTAGAAGACTGCTTCCTCTCTCTCCATCTTCCCCCCTTCAAATTTATCAGTTTGGTCCTAGAAAAGAGATTGGAATAGGACAAGATGCAAATTCCAGCAGTAATTCTTCCCAATGTTAAAAAGTTAAAGTGTTTAATAACATGTGGATTGTTTTTCTTAAGGTCCTTCCAGATATTCTTACATAATACCATTTCTGGTTTGGTTGCTAAACACGTGTCAGAAAAATAGTCACATACCACACACTGGCAGATAGGCACCACCAATTCAAAGGCAGCATGAATCTAATTCCCAGCTACCTGGATTCTCTGTAAAATTCGATTGATGAGAGAGTAGGATGAATGAAGAATAAAAAAAGCCTGCTTGGATAGCCCTCTGCTTAAATTATTGGGTGCTCTTTGGTTCATCTGTTGAAGAAACATTTGCAATGCGCTCTCCCAATCTTCTAAGCCAGGGTTGTGTGATTTGGCAATGAAAGACGGGAAATAAATAATCTCATTTACAAGGAAATGGAAACTGATACTATGGTTCCTTCTTTCCGAGGAGTGGCAAATATTTTGTCTTTCAAAAGACTCCTTCAAGGTTGGTCCTACAGCAGCCCAGCTGGAAGAGAGCCAGATCAGACTCGCACAGACCATCACGGAACTGGCAGCAACAACAGAGACTCTTGTTTTACTGTCAACACCATTCAGTTACCCCTGAGAAGGTGTGGTCAGCCTTTCCCAATCAGAGCTTTTTCTGCATGTCCTGCCCCCTTTCAAACTTCCTGCCAAACACAGAGTGTCTCCTGGAGCCAAAACATTCCATTGAGGCAGCTGGCACTTCACTCAGTGGATTCACTGGATTGCCAAGCAGCAAGGAGCCTTCCCCTCTAAAAGCAAAAACAACAAAAAAAGGATAAGTGTCCATCTTAAAAGCAAAATAAGCAACACACATTCACTTGGAGCTAAACACACATTCACTTGGAGTCAGGCCACTGACTGAGAATGGCTCTCCCAGAATAGTGAACACGGAAAGGATCTCTAGTCTGGACTGCTGGCATATTATTGGGACCTTCCACGAGGTGCCTGCATTGCTCCTGGATGGCTTCTTACCCTTGCAATCCCATGCTGTCCTCTAGACCAGTGTTTCTCAAC